CACACACACACACACACACACACACACACACACACACACTTTACGTAGTCAATTCGTACAACAGTTAAATCCAATAATATCCTTTCAATTATCTCTCGCACCGATCCTAATACAATCCTGTCAGATTTAATAAATCCGACGTACGTAATGATGATTGTGAGTACAGTTCATCACTCTCGTTTTCTCACACGTTTCTACTTTTTCGTTTTTATTCCAATCCAATTACTCCAAAATCATTAATAAAGATACTAAATAGTAAATATCAGTTTCGTCATCAAAGCCCGTTACTTACGTTATCATATGTGTACCGGGGTTATAAATTAATCTCTCACGGTGGAATTATGACATACATGTGACGGTATATTTGCAAGTCAGCAATACCAGATTGCGTTTGTTCCTTGTTTTTTACACCAGATGAATAGAGATCGGGGGGTGACGGACGCAAAGGACGGGAAGCACACTATATGTATCGCGTATCGCATTATCCGTTCGGTACTCGTAGGAAAAGGTTGATTCGTTGATCCATTCAAAATTCATTCAAGAGACGAGGAGAAAATAATGGAGAATCCCTTCACCACTGGCATCACGTTTAGCCAAGAAACGGAGAATTTGAATCGTTTCATGTTCGGATGGCTTGACTACACGCTCTTCAGTCTGCTACTGCTCGTCAGCGTTCTTATCGGCGTGTACTTTGGCTTCTTCAGCAAGCAAGACAGTACAACGGAATATTTTCTGGGTGGTAAACGGATGGGATGCTTTCCTGTCGCAATGAGCATCATCGCTAGGTCAGTGACTCCTTCTTTTCGATAAACAAGTGGATTGAAAGAACCTTACGCCATTCTGTGCTAGAGATCTGAGAGATACCAAATATCTCGCATGACCAATATTATTCCCTTCGGTTCTTTTCTTTTAATTTACATTTTTCCAGATATTTCATTATTATACGAAGAAATATCTAGAAAAAATGCTTTATATATATATATATGTATGTGTGTGTGTGTATATATATATACTAGTATATATACTAGTATATATATATATATATATACATATACCTGTTTAGCCACATCTCGGGTATCAGCTTGCTGGGCATCCCCACGGAAGTTTTTCATCACGGAACTCAGTATGCCGCGTGCATCTTCACTGCAATTTTCACTGCCGTGATCACCTCTTACATTTTCCTACCGGTGTTCTACAAGTTGCAACTAAACAGTACTTTTGAATATCTGGAGGTGCGGTTCACCAGGCCAGTCAGAATCCTTTCTTCAGTGCTGTTCACTGTCTCGCTCTTCACGTACTTGCCTATTGTCGTTTACGTACCTGCCCTCGCCTTCGCCCAAGTCAGCAATTTCAGCGTTCACGCAATAACGCCGATACTCTGTATCGTGTGCATCATTTATACTAGCATTGTAAGTGAATGGTAAAGCGCAATCTTATACCTCTGGATACGTTAATGTCTCTGAAATTAATAACAAGAATCGTTGCCATATAGTTTTAAAGTGGAATGAAAAGAGATTTTATAATTCGAGTCATTTATTCTTGATCAGCAAAAACTTGGAGATTTACATATATTATTATATATACATATAATATATTATATTTATGAAGAGTGTCTTGTAATGATGCATAATCTGTTCTTATTGGGCAGGTAGAGCAGGCTGAACTGAGTCGAAGAGTCCTCTATCATTTTGCAATTTTCGCAATATTTAACGAAATATTAATTTTTAAACATTGCAGAATAAGCGGATAAAATCGATGCACGAGACAACTTTAAGATATTTCTCAAAATTCTTTATGAAATATCTTAAAGACATCTTAAAGTTGTCTTAATTATACGTCGATTTTCGAGACATTCTGCTCATTGGTTAACTAAAAAAAGAAATTTGCAAAAATTGCAAAATGATAGAGGACCTTCCAATTCAGTTTAGTCGGCCGCTTTACTGCCCACGAGAGATTATATAATATATGTATTGTATATGCGGTCATTACCGGACACTTTGTATGTATAAAATCGTCGTGCACACAGTAATGAACAAAAGTTGTAAATTTTGAAATTTTATATTTCGTTTATCATTAAACGCTTTCATTACGCAGGGCGGTCTGAAGGCAGTGGTGTGGTCGGACACTATACAATTTTCCGTAACCGTCGGAGGACTCTTTTCAGTTCTTGTACTGGGGATAATGTCTGTTGGTAGCGTTGGAGAAGTGTGGAGGATTTCCGGCGAAGGCGGTCGTCTCATTTTCTTTGAGTAAGATAAAAAAGGAATAAAAAAAAAAGAGTTTCTCTTCATTTTTTATTATTTATATTAATTCATTAATTGTTAATGCCACATTTTAAGAATGCTTCCTTTATTAGCATGGATCCGAGTCCGTTCGCGAGAAATACTTTTTGGGGTATGACTATAGGTATGACGATAATATGGCTCGGACATCTCGGCATTCATCCAGGTACGGTGCAGCGATTTCTGTCAGTGCCCAGAGAGATTGACGCTAAACAGTAAGCCTCTTTCAAGCTATTCCTGTAAATTGTAAACTCGCGCCTTTAAAGAATTAAAGCGAATTTTAAAAGAGCCGGAAAACTTTGTTAGCAAAATAACGTACGAGTATATACATATAATCGTTTTCGTTTTCTGCATACATAGCGGACTGGCGATTACGGCGGTAGGAATGATAATTGTCAAACTGATCTGCGTGTTCACTGGATTAATCATGTTCGCGAAATATCATGATTGCGATCCTTTCCTGACCAAAGTATGTATGACGTATTTACAAACTGTGCGTTTCGATATTTATATGTATAAATTAAATGTTTAAAAGACGAAAGTGTTTGTCGATTTTTATATTTCTGTTATGCTACGTTTTATTACACGTAATTGTGTGATATTTCGATCGCAGAAAATTATAAATTTTTGTCGTTTGAGCAGTCGATAAGTCGCACCGATCAAACTCTACCGTACTATGTAATGGACGTCGCTGGGCATCTGCCAGGACTTCCGGGATTATTCCTAGCTGGTCTGGTGAGCGCTGCACTCGCGACTATGAGCGCCAGTTTGAACACCGTGTCCGGTACCATTTATGAAGATTTTATAAAACCGTGGATCCCGGATAGCCCCAAGAAGGAAGCCATAGCCGCCAACATTATGAAGGTACGTGTTGACATAATTTTTATTCCCCTCTTAAGAGGGGAGTCTTTTTAAAAAATTAAAGATTAAGATTAAGGCTGATTAATCTATCAATC